CCACCAATTTTTTTTATTTTTAAGGTAAAACGTTCTTTATCAAAGTTTTTTTCGGTAAAATGGTTCCTGTGAAAGTCGATTTTATATCCATGGTCGAACTCGGAATTTTTGGTTAGAGAGACTTGCGCAGGTTTTAATACCTATTCATATTACCAATTATTTAGCTAGTGCGTCGTAGCAGCTCTAAGTAAAAGAGAACGAGATAAGGTGCAAGCATGTGCTTTCCGAATCTTACATTTTACCCAACCTACTTTTAAAAGTAAAAAAACAAAAGGATTATTTGCTAGACAGGGTTATTTTTGTCATTCTAGTTATTTTAGTTATATTCTTATAGAAACCAATCAATATAGTAAATTAGGCGGAGAGTCTGGTCTGATATTTTTATTTTTTCCTTTCAAAATTTTCCTTTATTATGCTGGGGGATTAGTAACAGAAGATGGCAATGAGAAATGAACCCTCACTTATTATGTATGAGATTCCTATTGATACAACTAAACTATAATTTTTCTGTAATAGCCAAGCTATTATTGAAATTTCCAAAATTTTATTAATAAAAAGAACAATATGAAACAATTAAATTTAAAAAACTCAACTTTGGCAAGCAGTTGAATATTTTGTAACTGCTCTCTGCACCAACAAGATTTGATCAACTCTGAGTAGCAGTATTTTTAAAAACTCATACTAGTCGTAATTGTTTCTTTTCATTTTGTTTTCTGTTTTCTTTCCACCCTCTTTCTTTTATTTCTCTTTTTTCCTTTACCAATATTAAAACGTAGTATAAGAAACATGTGGGAAATTCTCCCGCCTCAACCAACAAACTTAACCAACTGCTGCTAACATATACTCAATCAAGTTTCACTCTTAACCCTCTCATTCGTTTTCTCCTTAAACCCAAAACTCTCTCTCTCTCTCTCTCTCTCTCTCTCTCTCTCTCTCTCTCTCTCTCTCTCTCTCTCTTGTTGCAATGCAGAGAACAAGGAAAATAATGGAGGTTGCCACTGATATTCTTCCACTCTACAACAGGCCTAATTCTGCCTCTCGCAACATTTCTATTCCCAACTGGTTTTCTGGAAAATGGATTCATCTCATTCCTCTTGCTGTCTTGCTCTGTTTGCTCATTCTTTGGTGGTTCTCTTATCCAGGTACAACATTAATAATCCCCAAAATTAATTCTTGATATATAAATTTCCCGTATAATTGTTTAATGATTGTGTTGCAATTACAGTGATGTTGGAAATAAGGGATGGAAGAATCAAGGAAATTGACAAGATTGAAGTTGTGCCAGAGTTGTTGAATGAAACTACCAACGTTGATCTTACTATTCTGGCTATGGCAACTGCAACTGCAACTGCTTCTGCGCCTTTTACATCAAATATTCCTCAGAGACAAAAAGTAATTGAGAGTGAAGGCGCGAAAGAGTTGATCAAGATTCAGAAAGTGTACAATATTAATGAACCAGCAGCAGAGCCAATGAGCAATAATAACGGTTGAAATTTAGTTTTAAGTGTTTTACAAACTATAGTTAGAATGATTTTTAGCAATAAGTACTGTTGGGTTGGCTGAATTTTGAAATGAATCACAATTGCGGAATCTGTGTGGAGAGTTGCTGAGAAATAATCTGTGTTTTTGTCCTAGTTGTTGTAATCTGGAATTAAACTGAGTCTTACTATATTGTCCAGTCCAATAGCAAAAAGAAGATATATTTCAGTCAGTATTCTTCTTCTTATCCAAAAAGTAATTGAGCGCTTAGTGCGTATAACTGCAGTATATTTATTTCTATTTTTTACATTTATTAAAATCTGAGTAGTATTCCTTCATAACTGGTAAATTTTGTCCCCCTTTTTATAACTTGTTCAAGAAAACTTGCATGGAATTACTAATAATTTTTTACATACATTCACATATTTACTCAAAAAGTGTAGCACTACGTCTTCTGCTTTCCCATTATTACAATTACTCACATATAATTGTATTTTATTTTCCACCCGGCCTGATTTTTAAAGAATTATCGAATCNAAAAAAAGGAAAAGAGTTGGCGCCATTTTCAACAAATTAAACCGACTTTTAAAGTCTAACTATATATAATTGTTGTCCTCATATAACAGTCTCAAATATGCCAGCTTAGAGAAAAAAGAAAAGAACTTAAAAGGAATCCTCTAATTATGTTTTTGGCTTTCATTATGATGATTTTCTCTTTTCTTTTTCTTGAGTTTCAGACATGAATTTTGGTGTCAATAGTTTCTGATAGCTTAATAAAAAAAGATGGTCTTTTACTTGTGTTTTAATTTCTTGCATAAACATAACCTTATTTGTTCATTCTTCTTGAAAAATTTAAAATCTTTACTCTCTGAAATAATAATGGGGTTTGAATAGTGGTCATTGATATGTCAATCTGAACCATTTTACTATCCATTTTTTTAATCTTTCACTTCTGAAATCATTACCGTAAAAAACAGAGTTCAATGGTGTTTTTGTTTTTGTTATGATGATCTTTTTCCTTTTACTTCTGTGGTAATTCGAATATTTATGATTGTTACACTTACAAAAAAGGAGTTCATATATGGTACCCAATGTCACTAAATGATTAAACAGTGATACTGTGGATCCAAAATGGTGCAAAAATTTCCTTCAACGACATTCCATTGACTGCAAATGATACCCGTTTTAATCTTTCAATCCTGAAAACATTACCGAATACTATAGAGAATGTTAAAACTCCTGTGAAGCCACTGCGTAATAATGGAGGAGGACTTGCTCGAAATATCTATCCATTGAGCAGTGGCGAAGTCAGGAATTTTTTCAAGAGTGTTCAAACTTGAAAAAAGTAAAAAAAAAAAATTCCAATAGAGGGTGTTTAATACATGTTATATACCTCTAAAATCTAATATTTTATCTATATATACAGTGTAATTTTCTAACGAATTGACCACCCTTACATGACGGTAGCTTCGCCCATGCAATTGAGAGGTCGGAGTTTCTGAATCAAACTGAACTTCACCTTGTCTCGTTAGTATTATCATCAATAGCGATACCAGGCTCTGAATATCTCACTATCATCAAAAATACGGTGCCATTGAGACCACATTTCCCCCCACAACTGCAGACAGAGGCGGCTCAATAAACATTGTGGCCTAAAGCAAAATTTCAATGAGAGGCCTTACGCTTTTTGTTAGAAAAAAAAGTACTTATATATAATTTTGTTTGAAGTTTATTTTTCTAGCTTTTTTATATGCGCAGTTAATAATTTTTAAAATCGTTTTATTCTAATAATTTTTTTTTTATTTGTAATATATCAAATTCATTTAATCTCTCTTGAGATATACTTTCTAATTTATGATTTTTAATTTATTGTTTGTAAAAAAATTATCAAGGGTTCTTTTTGGGATTGTATTAAAGTTTCAATCTTTATGAATAATCGAACTCTTTCTCAATTTATGATCCATAGAGTGATTCTCGAAAACACTATTCTTTTTCTCAATTCATGCTCAACCGTTCAATCTTTTTTCTTTTTCTTTTCTTTTCTTTTTTGATATGAAAAAAAATTGTACTTTCTCATTTAAAACACTAAATAACTTTTTAAAAACAAAATAATATATACACTTTAGCGGCTTTACCCTTGGGCCGCCACTGACTGCAGAACCAACTCCAAAAACAGCGGCTGAAAAACATCATTGATATATCGCGGTCTAGAGCTGATAATGAAGCTAGCTGCAGCTTGGCAATCGATCTGGTTCAGGAAATGAAGGGTGAAATTTGAGCAAAATTGTTTGATAGTATTACTTTTTGTTTTCAGTGTTATTATTAAAGAGAAGGGGCTAAAGGAACCTACAAGAAACTAGAAGGGAGTAGTTTGTAAATAAGAGAAACTACGGAACTTGTAATTAGAGATAAAAGAGATCACACGGATCTCTTTCTTGTATCATAACAGAAAAACTGAAATTGCCTAGAAACATCTCTCTTCCTTTCTCTCCTTGATTTCACTGTTTCATTGACGATGATTCACTGCATGTATGAATTGCTGCTGTAACTAGCTCAATCTAGCTCAGTTAACAGTTATGCTACAAGTTAGAAAGGGTTTACTATCTATAATGAGTGTAGGGGTTGATTGAAGAGTATCAAACCGAAATCATATTTGTGGATTTGCACTGAATTATCAGATTCTTTGTACTCAAAATATTGATATAAGTGAATAAAAATAGAGTCTTGCTATTGGTCTGGTTAAAATGAGTATTCATGGTCATTTTAGCATTGCTCAATTGTTCTGTTCTATAGATGACATTCCAAATTTAGCACTGTATTAAATATTAATACCCTACTATCATAACTTATATGGAGTAAATATCCAACTCCTTTATTATAAGATTGATGAATATTACTCAAACTTGTTGAGCTACTTTTCGATTCGAGTAACTTCTTGAATCAGTATTAAGGTTTTTATCCGACCATTATATCTTTCAAATAACGATGTCAAATGTAGGAAAAATAGAGAAAAAATTTGTCGCATAGTGGGTGAAGGAGAACAACTTCCGAAAGGTTTCTAGATTGGCAAAGTTCCGCATAAGTGAATGCATATAACACTATATGCAAATTTCATATAGGAAAGGAAGAAAAAAGTGAAATGGTATGCGTGTATATGTTGTCGATTAGCATATTATTTCTGTTTTTATTTATTTATTAAAATGTACTCAAAAAAAGTTTCATAAATTATTAATTATTTTTTTGGTAAAAACTTGGGTAAAACTCTCGTTATAAACGTAGTATCCATTTCTACAACTTGTTCACAAGAATTATTACGTGGAATTATGAGAAAGTTTTATTCACAAATTTACTCAAAATGTGTATTACTCCAAGTATTTATCGAGTTCTATGATAGAACATATTTTGCAAATTGATTCTCATTCCAACTTTTCAAAGACTTAACCGAGTCTAATAGAAAGATAAAACGAATTGGCGCCAATTTCAGCAAATTAACCGACTTTTAACTAATTTAGCTATATAAGATGGATGTTAGTCCTCACATAACAGTCAGTCTCAGCAGATCCCAAAATTTACAGAAAAAAAGAAGAAGTGAAGAAACTCCTCTCATAGCTAGGGTTTCTGCAGAAGAGATCATCATGTTCATATCAATCGCCGTGTTCATATTGATCAGATTGCTAATTAACCGTCTCCAGCGCAGAATGCCGGGGAGAGTTATAAGGATAATCAACTGGATTCTTATTTTCGTTGGGATCATCTCCTGGATCCTCCTTTTCTGGCGGTTCTTCACTACTGGTATATATTCTTCTTCTTTTGGGTTAAGATTATTATGCATCCTGTTTTTGCTTTCATTCTTCTTAAGATCTAAAGAGGGTTTTGTTTTTACTTGCATCACCATAATCATCTCTGTTCATTCTTGTTGAAAAAATCTACAATCTTTAGTCTCTGAAATAATTATGGGGTTTGCATTATTCTGATCTTTCAATTCTTAAATAATTACTGCAGAAAAAATGATGATTAGACGTTCCTTTATACTCTGTGTTTTTCTTTTCTGTTCATTTCTTTGTGAAAAGGAGTTTGTTTATATTAACTTACTACTATTGTGGTTAAACAGTGAGAACTCATGTGAAGCCACTGCCTAATAATGGAGGAAGACTTGCAAGAAAAATGCATCCGATTGAGTATCTGAATCAAACTGATGAACTTCACCTTGTCTCTTTAGCATCAAATCCAGCAACACCACCGCCTTTTCGCAGGGGCAATAATTTGTCTGAGTTTAATTTCTTTACATTGGCCGCAGTCTCGCCTCCACTACCACAACCTGTGACGCAGCTGACCAACAATATTACTATCTGTGGATATCCTCAGAGAAATCCACCACCAAGGTCTAAAGTTTACAGTACTGAAGCTAGCTGCTTTTTCAGGAAAATTAATGGTGAAATTAATTGAGGAAAATTGATTGGAAGTGTTATAAGTACTTTGTTTTCAGTGTTATATGCTGTAGTGGTTAGAAAAGTTTTACTATTAGGTATTTCGATATGAATTTTAACTAAATAATGAGTTTAGGGGTTGATTGAAGACTATCAAATTGAGAAATCAAATTTGTGGATTTGTACTCTGAGCCTCATTGTTTGTACTAGAACAATTGATACAAGTGAATGAAAACAGAGTCTTTGCTATTGCTCTAATTGAAATGAGAATTCAAGGTCACTTTAATATTGCTGTCTAATGGTAGTCAAGATCATCTGTTAATTTGTCTTTTTGTTTTCTTTGTTAGTCTCCATCTTTAGTTTTTAAATTTCAAGTAAAGTTTAGTCTATGTTTAACAGCAATAAGAAAGATTCGCATGCAGAGTTACAGTCAATTTTTACCAATATTCATTATTGACATACGGTACAATATGCAAACTCGCCCCAAAAAGATAAAATAACTAAAGTGTTATAATACCTTATACTTTTTTTTAATAAGGGTGTATTGATCATTAGCCAAATAATAGAATAATTATAATAAGAAACTAACTAATAAAATAAAAAAAGGATAAGGAATTTAAAACAAAAGGGCCGAAGCCCATAACAAACAACTTCTGCCCAACTTTTAAAAGGGTTAGGGGAAGGGGACAAAGCAGGAGCTTTAAAAACGAAATTAAAAAGAAAAACAGAGAAGGAAAGAAAGAGAAAAAGAAGAAAAGAGAGAAAGAAGAAGAAAGCTTTGGACAAAGGCTTTAAGAAGAACTAGGGGTTGGAATTGAATCCTTCGGCTCAAAAGGTTAACCTTCTTCTTATCAGTTGAATTATTTCACTATACCTACGCGATTTTATGTAGTACAAAAGAATTTCCATATCAGTTTTTTATAAATAAATAATTAATTATTATGGACAGTAAGGCTATAAAGATTTGGTTTAAGTACTGATAGGTCTAATTTTGGAGAAATAAAGTATACTAAATAGTTTGAAATTTATGAATTTTGGACTAGTTTTATGAGTAAATATAAATCCACAAATTAAGACTCAAACATGAACCCCGATGATTGAGTATTCTAAATTAATTATAAATTAGCCTAAACAAGGAAATTAATATGAGATCGATATTATGTAATTATAGATTGATTGGAGGAATTTGTACGAATTGCTCGAGGTGAAACATTTGGTATCTCGGCATTGAGTACTGTGAGTAGTAATCTTACCGCGATTTGTGTTTTCATAACTTGCATGATTTACACATAATTTTTAATATGAATGTGTTAACGATTATTTTGAGTTGCATGTTGGACAAGTCTTTTATTCGATATGATATCGAAATAGTTATTTAAGATGAATATCGTGGTTTTAAATATTTTCGTTGTCACTAGATCTGTTTTACCGTTACTTGAATTTATTGTTATCTAAAAGAAATTATATTATTTGATAAGAACTGAAATGCCTTATATTGTTTTAAAATAATTTCTACGAGTATATACGGATTACAGAGACAAGTATAAATGGGAGTAGACATTGAAGGATTCCGTAGCTAATGGCGGATTCGTTAGACCTGGTGCACCTTGTAATTATTGATTACCATTATAGCTCTCGCTAGTGGGAAGGTAGAACTACCATACCGTTACCGATTTTCCTCGAGTAGGGACTACCGTTATATATGACTTTTTGCAAAGAAGTCCACAGTTATACCGATTACATGATCCGTTCATTGAAACCTCCCAAAATGTGAATACTGATATTATACAGTGGTTACCGAGCTTATTACTGAATTGTTAATTATATTATACTACAAGAAAAATGTGATGAGACTGAAAATTTATTGTTTCTAAAAGGGCATTTTTATGTTAATTTCTGTTTGAGATACTAGCATGTTTCTGACTTGTCCCCAATAAAAACGATTGTGATTTAGTGTTATTACTCACTGAGCTAACGACTCATTCCCCGCTAATTTTTTTTATAGAGACAGCAGTTGATGCGGGCGAGGATTTCGTTAATTAGAGCGCACAGGCTGATAGTTCTTAGTGAGCCTCGCACTTGTTCGTGTGGACGGAGATTTTATTTATTGTTATGGTCTTTCTTTGAACTCTTAGAGTTGCTCCATAGTTAATATTTTAGTGGCATGAGTATTATTTTGTTATTATAGTTTTATGTTGAGTATCGTTTATTAGTATCAAAGTTGGAGATAATTAGTATTTCTGGTTATTAGTGGGTTGATTAGTAATGGTGGAGACTTATTTTGGTAAATTGATAAGTTGTCAATTGTTTGGTATGATATTAGGATGTTTGGTTGTTGATTTGAGACAAGAAAGTTTTGGGATAGTCCAAAAACAGGGGAAACTCTATCCGATTTTCTGTAAAATACCGATGAGTCTTACTTGGGAGCACTTGCTCCTAAGCGCTGGTCACGATCCTAAATTGGATCGTGACAAAGTTGGTATCAAAGCTTAAGCTTTAAATCCCGAGTCATGGAGCAATGTTTAGTAGAGTCTTGTTCATGGGTATATAGGCGCACATACTTATGATCTTGAGGCTACTGAACATCTAGGAATGTTTTCTCTTCTTTCATTCTTTGATCGTGCGTTGAGATAACTTGAGATTGACTTTGGAGTATTTCTTTCGCAGATGGCTAGGACACACATACCCTCATCTGCTGGACGTGGTACTACCCGGGGTGGCGGTCAAGTTGGGGTCCATCAAACTAGAAGACAGGTTGCTCCTCAACCCCAAGCTGTTATGCCAGATCAAGTGCAAGGGCAGAGAGTTCAGGACGCTCCACCACCAGTGCCAACTGTTGTACCTACTGTTGCCTTACCTGTAGACGCAGATGCAAGGTTATTGAATGTTTTAGAGACATTGGTGCCTGCTCAGGGTGGAAGTTTAGCTCATCAGGCTACTTTATACACACAAGCACCTGCACAGACTCGGACTTTCGTGAATAAGGAAGTATCCCTACAAGAGTTCTGAAATTAAAATCACCAAAATTCACAGGTTCCGATAATTCAGTAGATTCTCAAAGTTTCTTGGATGGGACACTCAAGGCATTATGTGCTCTTGGATGTTCTAGTGAGAGAGACGTGGAGCTCGCAATATACAAACTAGAGGATATGGCCAACACATGGTATGCAACTGTATTGCTAGGAAGGCCAACAGGAGCAGCACCACTGACATGGGACGAGTTCACTAAGTTGTTCAAGAGTCATTTTCTTCCAGACAGACTGATGCAAAAATATTCTAGAGACTTTGAGAGATTGGTTCAGACTCCAGATATGGATGTGTCAAAATATAACACTATGTTTTGTAAGCTGGCTATATATACTCCTTACTTAGTGCCTACCAAAGAAGCTCGAGTTCAGAGGTTTGTTGATGGGTTGGTTGGTCGTCTATACACTGTAGTAGCACCACAAATGAAGACTTTATCCTACTGTAATGTAGTCGACCTTGCTAGAAAGATTGAAAACAAGGGACGTGATGAGCGTGCAACTAGTGATTTACGTAAGAAAGCCAAGACATGAGGGGCTTTCAGTGGCGGTTTTAGTGAAAATAGAAGAGAAGGAAATCAAGGACAACAACAACAACAACAACAACAACAACAACAAGGTTCTTATATAGGGACACACATGTCTTCATAGTCCACATACAGGCCACATTACAGACAAGGTAATAGGGACCATCATCTTCTGGACATCGTAATTCTGGGCAGATATATGTCACTACTACAGTCTGCCAGACCTGTGGTAGATCACGTTTGGGCAAATGTCGTGTTTTAACTAGAGAGTGCTTTCAGTATGGCCAGTTGGGACATCACTTGAGGGATTGCCATCAGCTTCCGAGAAATTTCAACCAGGTTTCTATTTAGTCAGCTGCACCGACTCAGACTACTCGTAATACTTCAGGTGCTACAGGTACAAGAAATAAAGGTCGAGGTGTTGGAGACCGTGCTACTGTGAATCAAGGACAAGGGAATGTTGGTAGAGGTCAGGCGAGAGTTTTTTCATTTACTAGACAGGATGCTGAGGCCTCGAATGTTGTGGTTACAAGTATTCTTTCTGTCTGTTCATTTGATGCGCTTGCATTGATTGATCCGGGATCTACTCACTCCTATGTGTCCACGTACTTTGCTTTGAGGTTTAGTAGACAGCCTAAGCTATTGAATGATCCTTTTTCTAGTTTCTACTCCTGTTGGAGAGTCTCTATTAGCTGAATATGTGTATCATGCTTGTCTGATTCGGGTTGAGGGTAGAGATACTCTAGATGACCTTATTGTACTGGATATGATTAACTTTGACATGCTGATGGGAATGGATTGGTTATCTTCTTGCTATGCTATAGTCGATTGTCATGCAAAGATAGTTAAGTTTGAGATACAAAATGAACCCAGTTTTATTCTAAGAGGGAGTCAGGTTCCAGAGACTTGCAAAATTACACTCCCTCCGTTTCATATTAGATGAGGTAGTTTGACTCGGCATGGAGTTTAAGAAAAAAAGAAGAAGAATTTTGAAACTTGTTGTCTTAAAAGCTTAAAGGGTAAAAGGTTTGTGGGGCCATGACATTTTGTGTGGCTATAAAAGTTTCTCATTAAGGGTAAATGAGTAAAATGAAGAGTTTAAAGTTGAATTATATTTCTAAATTTAGAAATGTGTCATTTGTTTTGGAACAGACTAAAAAGGAAAGTACCTCATCTAATATGAAACAGAGGGAGTATCTTTTATGAAGGCTCAACGACTTTTGAAAAAAGGTTGCTTGGGTCTCTTAGCTATTGTAAATGACACAAGAAAGGAAACAGTTAGCATAGAAAATGTACCATAGTGAGAGAGTTTTCTGATGTATTTCCTGAGGATTTACCAGGATTGCCTCCAGTACGAGAAATAGACTTTGGTATTGATTTGCTACCTGACACACAACCCATATCGAATGGCACCAACAAAGTTGAGGGATCTAAAGCAACAATTACAAGATTTGTTAGATAAGGGTTTTATTAGACCTAGTGTATCGCCATGGGGTGCACCAGTACTGTTCGTAAAGAATAAAGACGGATCCCTGAGAATGTGCATTGACTACAGATAGTTGAACAAGATAACAATACACAATAAATATCCTTTGCCTCGTATAGATGA